GGACAAGTGTTCTAAGATTCAGAGAGGACCTGTAAGGTCATAAGAAATCATTTTCCCTGAATTTTATTTTTCAAAACTCTAGCCACCCCAGATTCAAGTAAGGTCTATATGCAAGGGCATGGGAAGAAACAAACATGGGTCACTGCAGGTAGGTGTAGAAGGACATCTTTAAAGGCTACCAATACCCTATTTGTCAAAAGGTAGTCAGACTTAACCTGTAACACAACTGATATTCCACTGCTCCAAACACATCTAGGAAACAGAAACCTACCTAGATACTTCTTGGATGATGAACATATGTGGCTCTTAATAACATACATATTTTTAACTAAACATTTCTTACATTGAATGAGTGTCATTTATAGAATTACATTGTCTGGCTTATACACACTTGTACCTGTTAGAAGATAGCACTAACCAAAATATTTTGGGGTTATATAGTGGATTAGAGACAGTTAACAAGTCACTCAGTACAATTCATCTCAATCCTTTCTAATCTATGGAATAGTAGTGTCATAGTATACAATAATTATAGAGTGTTTTGCTTATTGAAAGGAGTAAATTATTATTATTTATTACTATTAATATTTGTGGTACCGGGAATTGAAGCTGGGGTGCTTTACCACTGAGCCATATCCCCAGCCCTTTTAATTTTTTAAGACAGGGTCTTGCTAAATTGCCAAACTGGCTTTGAACTTGCAATCCTCCTGCCTCAAGCCTGCCGAGTTGCTGTGCTTACAGGTGTGTACCACCATGCCTGGCAATTTTATTGTCAGTGTTCAATCATTCATTCATTCTATCAGCAAGTATTTTTGAATACCTATGATGAGACATGAGACAGGCCCAGTATTAGTTGATTGAGTGAAGGGACAGTTTGCTGCTGTGGTCAGATTTTTCCTTTACCCGTAGAAATAGAAGCAGCTTAAATGCTAATTATATGAATTCATGTGTTCAGCTATTTGGGCACTGGAGAAAGCTGTGTTATAGAACAATAGTCACAGTATTGATTAGGCCTGACCTTTGTGCATTATTTAATTCCCCAGAAAATCACAGTAGGGGCAGCCATCTTATTCTAGTTTTGTAGAGTTGGAAACTCTGACTCAGAGTAGTTACATGACATTTCAAAGGTCACCCAGTCAATAAGTGGTGGAACTTGGATTTGAACCCGGAGCACTGACTGTGAAAAACTGTATTAAAATAATACTTTTGCGTTAATCTTTACATTCCGCATTTTTTAATACTTTATTTATTTTTATGTGGTGCTGAGGATCGAACCCATATCTCACACATGCTAGGCAAGCACTTTACCACTGAGCCACAACCCCAGCCCCATTCCATACTTTTAAAAGAAATATTTTCACTGTTCTAAAATGGAAAGTGCCTGATTATTTACTATAATCAGGCTGTTTGTATTAATGTTTGGCCAAATATATTGATGGTTCTCACTGTCACCCCATCCAGGGCTGCTTTTGGCTTCATAGTGACCATTCTGAAATCTAAGAAAGATGGGTAAAGAATAATGGAAACAACTTTCATTGAAACTTTACTGTATGTCAGTCATTACCTTTAATTTGCAAAGAATGCTAAACTACTATGGCTTGAAGATTTACAAAATAAAAATAAAACAAACGAACCTCTTATTAGCCATCATGAATTCCAAAACTATGAGGGTTCTTCAAATATGCCTGGACCTGGAAAAAAGATGATTCCTAGTCTCCAGAATCTCACCAGGCAACAGGAGGAGTCAACAGGTGTTTCCCCTGGCAGTACACTCTAACAAGGCCCAACCACACTTAAAATGATGAGAGGAGAAGGGAGGGAAGAGGAAGAGGCAGAGACTGGAGAAATTAGCTGGAGAAGAGGGCAAGAGATTTCATCCAGAAAGTACACCCTGTGTAAAGGTTCAAAGTCTGAGTTTAAGGAATTCTAGGGACTGAAATAATGCTATAACAGGCATGCAGGGTGGGTGTGTCAGGGTGACCAGAGTCAAGGCTGGCCACGGGCTCGGAGGTTTGAATGAATGACAGTCATTGAAAAAGGCTTTGCTAAGTAGTTTGGTTTATTTTTTAGATGTGAAAAACCAGATTAATGATCAGACATGACTCCTCTTAAACTGTGGCTTCCCTCCCTCTTTACAGAGATTGGAAATTATTCTTCTGCTTGGGAATGGTTTTCAATATGTACCAGGCATTATAAAGGGCTTCCCTTCTATTTCTGTATATTTACATTTGATTACAATCAGCCTGATCAGATAAAAGCGGCAGCTGTCATATTTTAATATTGTGAGTCATCCATTTGTTCATTTACACATTTACCCAGGAAAAACAAATTTGTTTGCCACTGCATCAGCTCTACAGATTCAAATTGCTGTACATTTAGGTAACATTCCAAGGGGAGTACATGCATTATTATAAACCACTGCCATAGGCAGCTTACTTCAAGACAGTTTCAAAACCCTTACTTTCCAGTCTAATTCTCCAGCTAGGTGAGTAGGGGCAGAAATGGCCTCTCCAGTGTACCCAAATGAAGAATGCAGAAACCCTGCTAATTTTTTCCTCATTGTCAGCATAAACAGGGTGGAGCCGCCTAGAAGGGAGGCCTTAAGTTCCAGCAAAGAGACAAAGTAACAGCAAAGTGGCAGCCACACCTCTTGGGCACTGCCTCCTACCAAGGGGTGACAGTGACCTCTCCAGCCAACAGGACCCTCCCAAGGGATTGGCTCCCTCTAGCAGGACCTCTCAAGGAGGGAGAACCAGTAAGAGCCTCTAGTATTAAAGAGTTGAATTTGCATCAGAAATGGAGCAGAGCACCCATCTGCTTTCCCCAGCACGTCTGGCTTCTGCTCTCTTCTTCAAACTCCTGATTTAAAAAAAAAAAATACGGTGAGCAAAAGTGTGTTCTTCAGCGTGTCTTTGAGAGCTCTGCAAAAGCTGCTTCCGCGCCACAGTTTCACAATCTCAACTCAAGGGCAGGCCCTCCCTCTCTCCTTTTCTCCCCTCCTTCCACCTGACAGGGACCATAAATAACTGAGGCTCCTGGTGTTCCCAGCTAGGAACAAAGTTGAAAGTTTGCCTGGAGCTCCTGGCCACTCCCCACCAGGGCAACTTCTTTGTTTTCTTCTAATGTTTTTGCTCTCTACCTGAGTTGGCTGTTGCTTCATTCATATCTGAGAAGAGTCACCTCCTAATTAAATGCAGCACCTCGCGCTTTCTCCCAGCCTTTCCAGCGGTCTCAGTTACCCAGTTAGCCACTGAGCGCTGGTATCAAATTACGGAAAATCTACACCGGAGCAGTCCTCATATTTACATACAAATAACTCATGGGCTTGCATTTATGTCACCATTCGGTCCTGCTAGAGGCTTGCCAGAAGAGTTCTTAATCCAATCAGAAGGCGCTTTAAAAGGATGTCTGCGGAGGGATCAAAAGGATCTTAATCTCAATTAAGTGTCGCCAGATTTTTTTTTTTTTTCTGTCTGAAATTTTGAAAATCTTTGCACTCTGAGGAGCGGGAAAAAGATGTGTGATTCCTCAGTTGCCTACAAGGAGACCGAGATGCTGAGGGGAACTCGGCAGCCGTGGTGAAGAGAGTGGATCCAACCCAGGGATTGGTTTGCTTGGGCTGGTTTGGAGGTTGATTCTAAATCACTGCCTAAGAAATTCCTGGAAACATCAGGAAAACATTTGGTCAGCCCAGCTTGGTGCAGAAATGGCTTTACCACAGAGTAAGAACTTTTTCTTTAAGTCGTACTTGGGATGGGCTGGTTTTGTTTCAGATGCAATGAATATGCAACTCGCCCAGCTGTAAATTGTTCCTTAAAATAATCTCTTGGTACTGGATAGCAGTAGAAAGTTGATCTGTTTAGTTTTTTTACATTTGCAAAAACAGTAGTTGACAGTGTATTTTTAGACCTGATAGGTAGTTTAAAAGCTGAGCTCTGGTGGTTTCCTGAATTTAAATGAATGGAAATTGTAAAGGGTGCTGAATGGAGTGGGAAAATAAGGCTGTGGCGGATGAATCACTTACCTTTGAGAAAACACAACATGCACACTTGGGGAATCTCCTTGGGCTAGCCAACTTTGTGTCCAGAAAGGGAAAAAGGGTCTTAAAGAGAGTTTGCCTTGCCTGTAAATAGAAGGAACTTTTTCACAGCCTTAGCTACATTTTGAGAAGGATGGGAAACATCCCAGAGGGCAAAGACAATTGAAAAACCTGCCCTGTCACTCTTGGAATGTGGTTTTCTGTGTGAGGTCACGTAAGCCATGTGTAGCTAGTAAAACTATTTTATGTGATTAACTCTTTTAAGAACAATTTATATGGTCCTCCTTTCAAACTACTGGATCCTCCCCCCCCCCCATTTTATCTCCGTAGAAGGCAGAGTGGCTTTCCAAGTGGATTTCAAGCCCTGGGACAGCTTGTTTGTTAATTTGATAGGTTTAGAAACAGTTCAAAATTAATGTGTTCCAAAGTCCCCCAAATGAGCAGTTATAGCACACATAAATAACTTGCTAGTTACATAAGCCCCAAACTGAAATCCTGTGTGTGAGAGAACCTTTTTTTTTTTTAAAAAAAAAAAGTCTGTTCCCTTCCCACAAAAATTTTAAAAGCAGTAATGAGATAGCTCTCATTTTCCAATTCATGTCCGTTCAAACAAGCTGCCCTCATCAAGGGTGAACTGAGGAAAATTCTGACGCAAAAGATCCACCTTTCTGGGCAGCTGGGGCTCAAAAAGGTGGAGGATGGAGTTAGGGGTAATGTTTGTAAATTGGTACTTAACACTTGGAGATGGATACATTACTTAAATTTACTCTTGAAATTGTATACTAACCTCTACCTGTGCTTTTCTTCTTCCTAAATGGCAGTTACAAAAATTATCCAGGGGCTAGGGGAAGATGGAAATGAGATAAGATGTGGGTTGTTTTTTGTTTTTTGTTTTTCCCCCACAGCTGATATATACTCAAAAGGGAGCCTTCTGATTTTGTTTTGCTCTGTACATCTGCAGGTGAAGATGCGATGACAGGGGACACAGACAAATATCTTGGGCCCCAGGACCTTAAGGAATTGGGTGATGATTCCCTGCCTGCAGAGGGTTACATGGGCTTTAGTCTTGGAGCCCGTTCTGCCAGGTACTTGATTGTTGCTGTTTTTCATAGTTAAGTTAAAACAACCATGATTTGCCATAAACCCACATCATTTTCATTTTCCACATGATCCCAGAATGTACTCTTTGGATGAGGGTGTGAACTTGGTGAAATTTTCTCAAATACACATGCTCTGCTGTTTTCCTTTGTGGTTTCTCAGTCCTTAATTTCATGTGATTGGACATGTTAATTGTTTGTTCATCCGTTCCCACGTTTTGTAGTCATGCTTCAAGCATAGTAACAAATGAGCTCACTGATAGGAGAGAACCAATCCAGGTCAAATGTTTCAAAATTAAATTTTATTCCATATTGAAATAAAATCTTAATTGCCAATAAGCAAGAAATATGTATATAGGTTGTTTATACTTCTTTGTGACTACAAGAATCAATTTATGATTGAGTCTTCAAAGACGGCATCCTTGAAAAAAAGTATATTTATTGAAATTATCAGGTATAGACAATCTCTTCCCAACTATTTCATTAGTTTGTTTGTAAAGGGACATGTTAGTATAGCAATGACTTACCAGAAGTCACAGACAGGAATAGTGGTAAATTCAGTTCTTACAACTGAAGCATAAAACTTTTGTATGTGGAAAACCTTGACTCAAACTTTTCTTACACTGTTTGAAAGAAACAGGACCTTGTCCTGAATTTGGAGACTTCTTTTCCCCTGGTGTGGATTAACAGCCTGTTTGCTGACAGTCAAGTTATTTTAAAGCTAATAATTAAACCTTCCAAGCCAGAGCCCTAAGGACATTTTCCTATAGTTTAAGAATCTGTTGTAAAAAGTTTCATTGTCTAATAGTAAATGGCACTTCCCACAAAGTAAACCTTGGAGTTTATTCTCAGTGTGGTTGGTGTGGCCAGTGCAGATATTGAATTGATTTTCTTCGAGCTAGTCTTTTTAAAATAGAATTTTGAACTCATATAACTTAGTAGAACTTTGTCTCTGTAAATATATATTTAAAAGGCCTTAAACTCAATTGTAACAGGTGTCATTAACAAGAAGAAAAGCAGCTTTAAAAATATATACTATTTTAGATAATCACCTAGAGCAACAAGTTACAGTTGAAAAATATGCAGAATCATAAAGGATCTCAGGATTCTTTGTATCTTGTTCTGTAGCTTTTATAATGCAATAATTAGGAGCCTTCTCTTCCTCACATTTTGTGAATCAATCACTAGTATGTAGAAAGTTATAGCAACTGACATCCAGTGAAATATGAAACCAGAATATTGTCTCCTATAATTTTTTTCTGAAGGTAATTCCAGGCCTTTCCACTTCTAATTTTGATTGCACCATTATTCGTTGCTATTATATGTAAGTCATTTTTATTTTTGACATTGGCAACTCATGTTATGCTCAGAGGCAAATATTTTTTTAAAGAACGTTAAGCATAATTAAGCAAAGTATTCTGAGTGTAACATTTTAAAAGGAATACATTAAATGTGTAACTCATTCAACCATAACATTTTTTTTCTTTTTCCCCCTGTCTGATTTTTTGCATTCTATTTCTCCTGTTTTTTTTTTTTTTTTTCTAAAAATACTTTTAAAATAGTCCCAAGATAAGGTAAGATGACATGGCGCTTTTATGGTGTTTCTCTGCCCTCCCTGGCTCATTTTCTCATTTTTATTTTCTTCATTGTTGTGCTGTGTTGTGCTGTGATGTGCTGCGATGTGCCTTTTTTTTCTGCTCAGCTTTAGACAATCAGTTTTGTGACTCTGAGAAAATTAGCAAGAAAGTAAGCGCCTACAAAGAAATAAGTGACCGACCGAATACTTAAGGAATTTTTCTCCCTTAACAAATTTTGTGTAGTGCATGAAGTAACTGGAAAAGTTTTGTTAAATTTAAAGAAAAAGTCTTGATTTGAAAAGCTATTTGTTTGCTGGTTGCTGTTTTATTTGAGTTATGCTAGATACACTAGTATAATTTTAGAATTCCAAGGCATGTTTTTCTAACACTTCCCATATTTAACACTTAGGGAATACTGATGGCTACAAATAATATTGTCGACCTTAGTTTAAAACTAATGCTTTCCAGACCCCTAAGAAATAATCAATAATTTTAATACTCCAAATTACTTCATTGTATTAAGGATTCAGAGTGAAGCTTCGTGGATTTAATGGGTTCCATCTGTGTAATGTAAGTTGGTCGGGAATGATCAGGAATCGGAACTTTAGATGTCCTGTTGAATGGAGACTACTTTTAGGACTTCCTGTTCCCAGTTCTGTGCTCTGTTCTGCAGTTGCCACTCATATAATAAACTAAATGGAGGAAAGAATGTTGAAAAACTATCAACAAATCTTAGATATACTTAAAAACTGGAATTAAAATGAATTTGTGATCTCTTTTAAAACTTATAGTATTTGTATACGTTATATAATAAAACTGTTTCCGGTGTCACCATTGTTAATATATCATGCAGTGGAAATTATAATTTGAAGAAAGAGTGTCCAATGCAGAGAGCACAACTTCTAGTGCTTCTAAATCATATCAGTGAGTAAGATGGAACATTACCATGAGTTCATAGAAAGTGCACTAATAATGCAGCCACTAGCCTCATGTGGCTGTTTAAATTCAGATTAGTTAAAAATCCATGTTCAGCCATACTAGCCACTCTTATGTGCTCAATAGCCACATGTGACCAATGGCTAATGATACTAGACCACACAGATTTAGCACATCTCTAACATAACACAAAATTCAATTGGACATTGTTGAGTTAGGAATAATTCCTACATTTCCGAAGCTTCTTTTGTATTTGAAAGAAGTTAAGAGACTGGAGACAGGAGTAACAGAAAGAAAGAGTTGCAACTGAAACAAAGGAAAGGAAGAGCTATGGGTGACATGACGTGACTGCGTACAGAGAGCCTAGCCGTCCAAGTGGTTAGTGTCATGTGGTTTACTGGACAACTGCTCCTCTGAGGGATAATGCTTATTCAGTGCATATTTGCTGAAAACACTAAATAATGACTGTGGAACAATGATATTTTTGAATAGGGGATCAGTCTAAGATTCTCATCACCACTAAGGCTCTAATCCTAGAATGTACCTAGCCATTTGTGTAAGCACGTAGAACAATGCTTATAATATCTCAGAGGTCTCTGTTTCAGGTAATCTTTAGAATAGTAGGCAGTGAGGAAAAGAAATCATTTCATGCAAAGCGAGAAATCATTCCTTATTTACCTCTTATTTGCTCTTTCCCCTGTCATTCACAAGGCAAGGACAGAGCCAATGTTTGGCTGATTCAGCTGGTAAAGATACAATAAACAATATTTAGATCCACAGTTTATTAATTATACAGGTAGCGAAAAGAAGAAATTTTCCCATAGTTTTGTCTCTACATGAATATGGACACCAAAACCAAGGGGGCTAGATGTCTAGTTTGGGGATACCCCATTGCTAAAGAGACAGTTCTAGACTTCAGCTAAGCAGTTTTGTGTTCTGCAATGCTATTCTAAGAAGGACAAGACAGGAAGCCTCAGGCCTCATTAGAAAGATGAGGTAATGAAAAACTGTCTTATTAGAGCCTGCCAGGTAAGACAGGGAGGTAAGTGGGAGATGACCTCAGTTCCTCTTAAACCCCCATCCTCCCTGTTCCTGAAGGATCACAAGGCATTAATCCAAGACCCAGATTAATTGTAATCCCAATCTTGGCATGATTTATGTGGATATATGCAAAGTCACCAACATGACAAGACAGCTGTGCTCTAGTGCCTTACTTTACAGATCAGTGTGGTGAGTGGTACTTCAGGGCATTAGAGGGAGCTGCACTCTGGGAAGTTCAGAGATTACGTGGAAGGCTTGAGAAAGATTTGGAAGGAGAGCAATAAAAGGAATGAGGAAAAAAAAGAGTCAAGCCAAGGGGGAAAATAAAGTATTTGCAGGAAGGATAGACTAATCATGCAGGGAAATTAAGTGTTTCCTCCAGGCCAGAAAGATGATAAAGATGTTAGACAGGTATATTAATAACACTCTTCCTTCTTGATGTTTTCCATGAGTAGCAACTACAAACCAGAGCTCTCCCATATATGGTTCCCAAAGACTTTATAAATAGATGAATTCACAGCAGACATAATTCCAGTCAATAGTGCAAGGTAAGCAGACATGAACCAGAAAGACAGGAAACTCTAAAATGCAGTCTAATCCTAAAAAAAACAACTGTCAATTACCCAGAGGTTCTTCTAAGTGTTCTGTTGGTTCAGCTGCATGGTGAAACATCCAAAGTTTTCATGCATTTCATCTTCTCACAGAGTTAATACCAATTGGCCTAATTTTAAACAAAACCTGATCATGAGTTTGTGTATGGTAGACATTGACTCAAACATAATTTTGTTTTTAATGATGTCCCTTCAAGGAAAGCATTTGTCGATATTTTTAGCCATCTTGCTTGTTCCTAAAGTTGCATGCATTAATTTTCTTTTATTCATCTCATCATCATCTACCACTGTTGAATGGTTAACTGTAAATACAACAGCCTCCGCTCCTTCAGTTCGGATAGGTCTTACACCTTGAACAGAAGCTCGTATGCACGGGACAGCATGATGATTGAAGAACTACTTGTGCCATCCAAAGAGCAGGTATGCTGTCTTCTTAAAATATTCTTTGTTTTTTAAACTTACATTTGTATGACTGAATCAAGCCAATTTCTCTAACCAAAACCATATTTTTCTGTATGTTCGACTTTTTGTAAACCTCCTGGTATTAGCCAGTTGAAGAAGAGAATCAGTTGTACAGTCAGAAATAACATATCTTTTCTGCAGGTGAGTCCCTCAGATTCCACTGAGGGGAACTCAAAGACCAAAACGTACAGATACTTTCTCATCTTTAAGGCAAATCTATTTTAAATTTTTTTGAGAGACAGTTGATAATAATTGTTAGCCAGAGTTGCTAAAATTATTCACATGAAGGTTTTATTTTGTTGTACAAACTATGTATATATGTTAGGACTGTTTTTAATAAATACTTAAAGATTAGATTTGTCATGTTTTTGAACCCTTAGTTTCAAACTTGCCTGTGATGGACCTTCTCAAGATGGATGTTTTGCTTTCTCCCAGAATCTCTGCTGAGATTCATTGGGTGTTTATGCAATTTCTTCTTCTCATAATTATGGTTAAATACATACTAGGTTGATATAAGAAGTTCCAGCAACATAGTTTTATTGGATTTGAACTCAGGATGATTCTAAAATAATTTCTAGATATCCACAATACCTGGTTTTAAATGTGCACACTCATCTGATGATGAGTGAAACTATTTGGATCATGAAACTAATTTTAAGATGGTTTATAATATTTCAGCAAGGTAAATAATTGGTGAAATCATGTGAGACTTATTTATTCACTGCACAACCAAGGTTAATAGAAGCTGATGAGCAAGTGATAGTCATTTATGCCCAAGGTAGAAGTTGAGCAATGAGTAGCTTTGACTTTTAGAACTCCTACATGTCTGGAGATGCTGATGCCAGACATACAGGTGTGCATTGTATTTCACAGGGACCAATGAATATTACTTTGTACTCTCTAGAACATCTTATCAAGCAGACCTTAAAGAGGTGAATACAGAGGCTATTCAGTAATTGGTCAGACAAAAACCAGAAACTTTTGTAAAATGATTATAGGTGCTATAATATATCATGGGTTTAAGTGGGTGTCTCAAACAATGAAGCTAAACTCTTGGATACAAGGCATTGCCAGTTACTAGCAGAGATTCTCTGAAAAACTTTCATCTTGGTTGGTTATTCTAGTCCGATAACTTGCTCTGTTCATAATCCCAACTGAAATAAGATGTTAGTAGATATGTGATGACACAATTGTTAAAATACTTATTATTCTCCATGCTCTAAGAAAGAAAAGCTTTCAATGCTTATAAAATTACAGGTGGAAGAAAACTCCTTGGGTATCAGTGACAGTTTGCTCTTATCTAAAATCTGTACTGGAGGATCCTGATCAAATGTAATTATGGTTGATATTCCTGCATGTAGGGCCTGAAGTTGGGACCACCACATCACCATTACCATGACCTCACCGTTATCATCTCTATACCACCACCAGCACCACCACTGCTTTCACCATAGTTACCCTCCTCCAACTTCTGAACATCAACATTAGGATAAAATATAAATATCTGTCACAAGGCTAGAAATGGGCTTCTGAGGATTCTCACACCACTGCCCATGAGCTTTTACTAAGATGCGCTTACTCAGGTAGAATGGAGGGACAGCATTTACTCAGAACTAAAGATTTGTGGAAAATACAAGACAAGGAGAACTTCTGAGGCAATACTGATGTTCTTTGACTCAGTTTTTTGCGGCTTCAATTATAGAAACATCTGAGTGGACATCATAAATGCGTCTGTAGACCAGACAGTAGAGGAAAGCACAGGACTTTGTTTACTTTTAAAAGAAAAATTCAAGTTCAAAGCTATAGAAACAGGAAGTTGTTTTCTTGGCCACAGCATGCCTCTCCATGGATTGATCGGCCTCCTTTGTAGACCCTGCATGTTTAGTGAGCATGTGACATTTTTTTCAGGACAACGCAAATTCATGACAAATTGATAAGAGATTTGGGGGGGAAAAAAGAAGATACAGTCCTAAACACATTTTAGGGCCACCTGGGAATGTTTGAAAGTGTAATGGATACACACACATCAATCTATACACACCACTGGGAAATTGTTAACTTACCTTTACCAACTTATATAATTCTATATCAACTTATATACTGAAGTTTTCAGGAATGATGAAATTATTAAGTCAGCTATTTATTTTAAATGGCTCATTGAGAGAAAAAGAAAGCGCATACACATATTACAAATATGGCGAGATGTTAATTGTTGAATAGTTGAATCTAGGTGTAGGGATGATGGATACTGTTTTCTTCCCTTATTTTTTTCCCCTTCTCTGTTTGTGGTACTGGGGATTGAATCCAGGGGCATTCTATCACTGAGCTACATTAGTACCCATTTTTAATTTTTGTGACAAGATCTGGCTAAGTTACCTGGGTTTGAGATCCTCCTGCCTCAGTCGCCCGAGTTACTGAGATTACAGGCATGTGCTTCTGTGTCCAGCAATTCTTTACGGTTTTTTTTTCCCCAAGTTTTTGTACAAACACCTTAAAAATAAAAACTCGAGGAAAAACAAATTCTGAAAGATATGTGTTAACTTTGGTTGCTAGTGTCTTGCTTATGTGGAGGATAGGGAAAAGGCTAATTTTTAGAAAGGCTGTAAGAAAGGAGAATTTTGTTATACTGTGCAGAACCAATAAAAAGCATTTACTTTAGAAGTGCCTTGAAACACTTTCAATTAGAACTAAATGACAAAAAAATTATTAATCTACATCTTTCATGCCTCTAACTGAATTTATACATTTCAAAATGTTGTTTCTTCAGAGTAGTAATTTTGTTGAAAAGCAAGAAAAAAGTCTTAAATATTTGGGATTCTTAAAGCAATGATATATGACTGTCAGATTGAAAACTACCCAATCATTGCCTAATTGCTTTGACAAGTAAAGGTGGAAAATGAATTAAAAATTAACTCTCTATGTGCTTTTCTTTTTTTCAACAAGAAGATACTTGCCTCTTCATTATTTTGTTGACTTAACCATTTTACACATTAACTATAGTTACAGTACAGTTGAAACCCAGGATAATTAGTATAGGACTATCACACTGTTCCTAGGATCCTGTGTTGGGTAAAGGGAGAAGGTAAATATATTCCCATTCCCGTGGGGCCTTTCATAACTAGTCTGTAAAACACTTCATTCATCACTGGATATGTGAGAATAGAGTCTTTTTTTTTTTTAATTGTGATATTGGGTTATCCATGAACTCTCTACCATTTTACCTTTCCTTTGCCTGTTAATCCAGAGTCACCTGGAGATAGGTTTCGAGATGTGCCTTTGTTGGAACCACTAGCTGCAGCAACTCTGACTGGAAGCTTTATGTACAGTGCTCCCTCTGTATCCTCTGTACCCCAACCAACAGTAATTCAAACTTATTCAGAGAAAAATGCATTGTATTGTATGTGTATATTCATATAATATTCACATATTCATATAATATATTCATATATATATATTCATATAATATGCTGGAGGAGATGCACAGGTCATGTCAAATCCTCTACCAATTTATATACAAGACTTTCATGTCTACAGAATTGGGTATTTGTAGAGGGGTGGGTCTTAGAGCTCCTTCCCAGCAATACCAAGGGATGACCATATTGGTTATTCGGCACCTAATGTATTTGTTTTATGAGCTCAGCTATTTGTATGTCAGGTTGTTTTAGGGCAATCTATGTGCTTGGAAACATTTCTTTCCAAATAGGAATTAATAAAGAAAAAGGATAAGTCTAAACTGAAGCCTTGTTGTCTAGGATGACTGTGGTATATTGGTGCTTTCATTTCTTCTGACATAGTTATTGAAAGCAACTGTCTGGGTGGCTTATGTAATCACTGTGTATAGTCCAGATCACCCGGGCCTCATTACAGAAATGGAGTGTGTTGATGAGATGCCTTAAGTGTCAGGAGATGTAATGGCAAGGATGCTTAGACAGTGGTGAAAACAGCAAATTTTGAGCTCTTCCTATGGACCAGGAGCTATCCTGTTTTACCAGTATTAACTTGTTTATATTTCACAACAACCCTATGAGATGATTCTTTGTTCCATTAAAGAGAGGAAGAAATAGAAGTCAGAGAACGTATATAATTCACATCAGGGAACACAGCTTGCAAGTAGCAGAGTCCTTGACCATGTGGTTCCAGGTTGCCTCCTTTTTGAACATTGTATGGTCTTTATTACTCAGGGTGAGAAAAAGCCAGGAAAGAGCCCAAGGATTTACTGTCTGTCCTCCAAGGTCTTACATTTGCTAGTTTTCTTAATATGGATGCAGTACCACTATCTTGGTCCATTTTTTAGCATGAAGGATTATATTTAGACACATGAGTTCTTCACTATGCTTATTTCTAATTCTAATAAATTATTATTTAATGTGCTTCTCAAAGAACTGACAGACTATAATGTAATCAACAACAGATTATGAAAAGTACAAAGAGCTTAGAATCATGGCATGTAAGGCATAGTGAGAAGAGTAGAAATATTTGACCTTGATAGAGAAAGCATGATAATAGTTTACACATATTTACCAGGTCAATCAATTAATTTTACTTTGTTTGAATGACCTAGAAGTAATTGTAAGACCAGAGGATGTATACTGTAGACATAAACATTCAATTCAGTAGGATTTCTGATACAGTTACTCACAGCTAGGAGAAAAGCAGAAGATACTTCTGAGGGTGGGTTCCCTTTCCTACATACTCCTGACTGGCTTTCTGCATACACTTCTTTTTTTGGCAGTAGCAGTTAGGATCTGATGGTCTAATCACTAATCATCCCCAGCTGGTGCTCAGTCAGTGTAATTTAAAAGGGGTAGAAATTCTTCCTCTCCTCCATGGATGCGGCCTAAACCTGACCATTCAGGGTACCCCTTTCTCTGGAGTACAGTGATTACTTTAGAGTATAAAGAAAAGTTTGGCCAATCTAGTGAGAAACTCAAATTTGAGACTTTTGAGAAAGAAGCATT